GGTGGTGGTGGTGGTGGTGGTCTGGTAGGGGTGGGGGTGGGGGTGGGCACTAAGAGTCAACCGCAGAACATCATGATAGCCGCGCAGGCTAGTACCAATCCTCCTGCGCACCGATGTGAAATCAGACGCTGAGGCCGGTGCGCAGGAAGCAGATGCACCTCAGCATGAAGTGGACGCCTAGCCCTGCCTTTGCATGTCTTTGTAAACTTTATTCGATCGGCTTCCAGTCGCAAGGCTACGTCGTCTTTGCATCTTGGCGTTTTGGGCGTTAGGGCTTAGCATTGTTTGGGATCGGCGCTTTTTCTGTTCCTCCCGAGCATTTGCTCGCTGAGGGGGATACAGCGACGGTCCAGAATCGGTCCACCCTATCTCACATTCCACACCCAACCCCATCCTAATCGCCTGGAACAACATCGTAGTCCCGCAAGCTGGTGTGCTTTCGTGCAGCGGAGCAAGTCAAGCCAGCCAGCACCCAACAAACAGCATCAGACTAGCGGCTCGACAGCCCCCTGGCTCTCCACAAACAGAGCTGTCAGTTCCAAGTGCACCGGGTTGTCACGTGCGATTCTTCAACAGTCATGTAAGAACATCCGGTGAGGAAAGCACAGACCATACCAGTTCTCATCCTTCTTACAGCCCTGCTACAAGGCCAGTCTTCGTATCACTACCACACAGTTGTACGTTCGGTGTTCTGGGTCAGGGTTTCAAAATTGGCGGGTTAGGTTCAAGGATCGCACCGTTGATATCAATATGTCAACCGCTGAAAACCTATCCACAAATGCGTCTGTCGGAGATCGTCACACTCCACAATGAGTACTTGGCCTCCTTGACAGCAGGATTCGTCCAAACTTCATTGGGCTGCCAGCTTATTCGTGGTAGCATCTGGTTTCGACCAGTGTCTCGAACCCTACCGCACGTGCCACCGATGCAAGCCTCCAAGCTGCCCAAAAGTCCCCAGCCGTTCAGGGAGATCTCAGGCCCCGGCCGACTGCGAGGGCTGCACCGCGCGAACGAGCTCCTCGGAGCTAAGGCGGGCCCGGGCAACGGGCCAAGGGTACCCGCTCGAGGCGCCTCGATGCTCATCCAGTGGCCACCGGCCCTGGCCTCCAACTCCCCGGTCCTGGCAGAAGCCAAAACAGCTAGCGCTGACGGAAGCCCCAGAACCCGCTCCGAGAGCATCATGCAATCAAAAGTCAGTTATTGGGTAGCTCTCTCTGAAAACGGTTTTGGACCGAGATCGTCAAGAAGCTTCAATCTCTGGCTCCTTGGGCTCAGCCGCACCGAGACCCGCTGGGTGCCAAAAAGATAGCTGCCGGGGCCCAACCGGCAGAAGAGCGCCTGGGACGAATATTCACCAGGCCCCCTGAAACTTCGCGGCTTGCCGTCTCAGCAGTTCATGAAGGCCTGGGGCTTGAGGATGTGAGGCACAATACGGATCTACAAGACGGACTTGCAAGCTGGCATTCCTCTAAGATGGGTGGTGGCCTGTCGAGCTTGGCAGCCGCAGCCAGAAACGAATCCGTGTGAAAGTGAAGACGGAAAGCCTGAAGCTTCTGGAACCCGATGAATCCGCAAGGCCACACCTTGCTGGCGCTGTTCTTCGGCTGGTTGGCGAAGCCCGCCACCTGTTCACAAGCCAGGCGGCTGGGGTCAGTGCCCTCTGTCAGTACGCAGCTAGGACGACGACACCGCAACCACCACCACCGCCGCCACCACCACCGTCAACAATGTGCCAACATCACGATTGCAGACTGTCAGCATTTTCTCTCTTACCCCCCACCCCGTGGATTGGTCCGTCCCCGCTCAAGGGCCGTGCCTTCTCATCGATGGGATCGTCAGGGTGCGGCCTCAGGCTTCAAGGAACAAAAGAGAGCAGGAGAGCCGCATAGAGCCGCATGCAGCCCGGGCCGGGCCCCGGCCTGTACGCTTCGGCCAGGAGGACGGTCTCGATGGCAGCCGTCGGCAAATTCATCGAACTGGCGGGGCCTCACCACAAGCGTTCCAGCAGTCAGCCACACAAACGCCTCCGAAGCTCAAGCGCCACCTCCGCTCTCCCCCTGCGACTAAAAAATCTTGAGAACTTGAACGCTCCTGGCGAGGCTTCAGATCTTCGCCTCGCTGGCCCGGTGTGGCCGTGGGTTCTCGGGGAGCGCCGCTGAACCTCGGAGCACTCTCGAAGCGCTGAAGGGACAGGGCCCCCCATCCTTTCGTGACACCTCGTCCAAACGGGTTCAAAGCCCTTGCTTGGAGACGGGCGCCGGCTGTGCCGAATGCGAGGGAAGCGCAGATCTCAAGAGAAGATTGAGCCGCGCTTGGGGTCTTTGGGATTGGTCTTGGGGATTCTTACGAGAAGTTTCGAGGACCCAGCATGTCGGGGGTTATCCGCTGGCTCCGAAGGACGAAGGAATGCCCTCCAAGTCCGACGTCATAGAGTGGTCCAAGAAATGAGCGAAGCACGAAGCTCCCTGCAAGCAGTTCGCAGCCTTCTAGCGTCAGCCCCTCACCTCCAAGACCTCGCAGCCTCAAAACCCCAAACCCAGAACTCTCAAAACCATCGGACACTGATCCGGATATCACACGAAACTGAGATGACTAAAGGACTATTTAGCTACCGACTGCAATCCCGAAATCCGCTTCCTCCGTAAACTCTATGCAGTAACCGGGAGTCCACGCTCCCCGGGTGGCAAAAGCGGCTGTGGAATGCGGGCACCTGGCACCTGGCGCTCCCGGACCAGAAAGCGACGATGGTTGCAAGACTAGCAGTCAAATGATAATGGACGAACGACTAAACAAAGAAAATCCAAGAATATTCCTCAGAAGCTTGGGGGATAGCGTCAGGACTGAAGTCAGGCCATTTACAAAGGCACAACCTGGATGCTACACACCGCGGCCTTCAACCCTGCAAAGCTCGAGCCCTGCTGCTGGTGATGCTAGAGCTGCCGTCGCGTCATAAGTGCAGCAGCAGCAGCATTTGCAGAAGATGTTGTTGGCGTTGTGCAGACACTTGCCAGCCTTGCTGATGAGGCTGCCGGGGGTAGTGCCTGTTGTGCACAAGGATTCCGAACCCTCTTTCGGCTTCCCCCTCATGAGGGAAATCGGACGAAGCGATTGCCTGCATCATATTCCATCCCCGGAGAGGCTTGATTTGGAGCCAGATGGATTTGAAAGCTGACCTCCCGAGGGCGATGGCGAGCGCATCGCCGCTTCCTCGGCGATTCGGAACAGGCGATGAGATAGTAACTGCTCTGAGTGGAACTATCAAACTGCGACACGGTCGAAACCTCGTCCCACTCCCTCTTCCCTCTTCATCACAAAGATCCGTTCCCGTCAAAGCGCCGCATCCCGGAGCAGCCGCAAGCCGACGGACTGCGGCGGTGCCTCCCTGGCAGGAGATGGGCTCTTCGGCAACAGCACGCTGCAAGGCGAAAACTGAATGTCGGAGTTATCGCCTCTCGTGCGCGAGCAGTCCGGAGCCCAGCAGCTCCTGCAAACATCTCGTGCGTTGGAAAGGCAACACATCGGGTTCACTGGACGAGGTCAGAGAGAGACTCCTAGACGCTGCTTCCTCTCCGGGTGCAACTTTACATGTAGCTTTCACTGTTAAGTTATGCTGGGCTCCGCAAAGGCAGGGCAGATTTGCTCTGGATAGCGAGGAAGCCACACAGGAACAACAACGCTTCGTGACTTGCCAGAACGGAATGCAAAGCTCCTCGATTTGGTATGCATGGAGCTTTGTTTCACTGGCATGGACCTTGCCCGGAGCGCGATACCAGCAAAGGCTGACAAGCCCTCCTGGTTAAACCTTAAACAACAATGCTTATGTGCAAAGGCTACTCATACAGTCCAAAGTCAAGTTCGATTAGGACAATGCTCAGAGCGAACGAATCCTAATGAGGCCACCTTCCTACTTTATAAAGGCCCGCTGACAGGCTGAACTGCAGGTTGAACCGTCGGCATCTTGAGAAAAGGTAAGCTCTGCGCTATGCTTCTGTGAAGTTATATATTTTGTAGTCAGTTGACTTGCTACCTGGATACGCTGCCGTGGTATGTTTCGCGCCTGATCCGTC